GCCTCTTTCTGTATCTATAAATGAACCTTTGAGCCAGTTGGAGACTCAAACTGTTTTTCTTTTCTTCATTTGCCAGGTACTCTGAGTGAATTAATGAAGACTTCATTTCCTCGTTAGCTCAGTCTGTTTAGGAAAAGGCTAATGGGCTTCCCCTGTGCACTTGGGAGGAGCTTTTACATGATATTCTAGGAAATTATTTGTCTGTCAATAAATTTTGCTGGATTAAAATGTATTTTGCAAATTAATTCAAATTCACTTTAGGTAGGGCACAAGTATGTAGAATATATCAGACAGCACATTATATTGAAGGGCACAGATTGGCTGCATACAAAATTGCATACTTCCCTACTGTCCGAAGTCGCAGTACTCATAAAAGAGTAGGCAAAAGTCTTGATAACCCCTGTGTATATAAGCCCTTGTGTTTTATGTGTTCTTTGTTGTCTAGTTTCTAAGTTTACATTTTTTGTAAGCTTTAAAGTCACGATGAAGCACAAGTAGCTTATTGATTGAATTTTGATATGTGTGTATTGCACGCAGATGTTGATGCGAATCTGATTGCGAGCTTGCGAGGGCAGGGTTTAAGCAGACTAAGAGGGTGTTTGCACTTTACAGTTTTCAACTAAAAACATAAAACATGTTATGTGTTTTAACTGTTCATTTATAAAACAACAGCATTTTGGGGGCCTAAAAACATACACTTTTGTAAATGGATTTCAAAGTACGAGTTTTTTAAAATGATGCCATTATCATATCTGTGTAAACTACGAAAATGTGCATTTGTGAAAACACTGACCTCATGTCCATGCATATTACGCTTTCAGGCGTTAAAAATGCATATGTGTGAAGGTGAAAAGTATTTATTTACAAAGTAACATGCATACTACTGTTTTTAGTTGTTTTTGCAAATTTGTGTGAATTGGGATAGTTTTGACCATGTTGTTATCTGTATGTGAAACTTTTCAAGAATGCAAAGGAAAAACAAACAAAAAAAAACATTTCCGTTTGAGTACAATTGTTGTAATGTAAATGTACACTAAAAGAAAAGCACTGCATGCATCATCAGAGAGAAGTCTGATGTTTCACCGAAAGGTTGAATTATGAAATTTATTAAAAAAGGTCGGTCAGGAAGTCAGGAAGGAAGGAAGGAAGGTAGGTCTGGCTAAATTTAATTTGAATTTGGTTGACTATTTACTTGAGGTGTAAAATTTTCAGTACAGGTTAAGTATATATTCAGTACAGGCTAAAATATGTTGCATCAAAAAAATCACTTCCCCAAATTACAACAGCACCATAAACCGTAATGTTTTGTGTACCATTACAAACCCGCTATTTAATATTTATCTACCAGTACAGGCCTTGAGAAAGTAGTGCTACCCGTTCTGTGCATCATTATTAAGATGTTAAAGGTACACTTGGCATCTCTGTATTGACAAACTAGGCACTCCATTGCTTTCAGTCACTTGCCTTGTGCGTCAGATCTAGATGCATTTAATTATTTGCCTGCAGTAATTTATTGCAAAAAAAAAAAATAAAAGTTTAAAAGTATTACAAACTCATGTTGCATTCCAAGTCTTCTGAAGCCATACAATATCTTTATATGAAGAACAGAATAAAACGTAGATTTTAATAATTGAAAATGATCCTGATCCATTTACGCAGTCACATCTCATTCAAAAGATACATCTGAATGCAATTGGGCAGAAGACACATGGGAGCCTATGGCATTTCACAATCAAAGTAGACATGAAGATACTTCAGGCTGTAATTTTTCAACGTGTTTTAATTCCCATGTCCTTTGCCTGTGTATTGACGGCAAAGATTTTCTAGTGCTACGACGCGTAGAAGTACTTAACAATGATGTTTGCCCAGGCTTCAGTTTTCGACACCTTGCGAGTGAGAACAAGTTGAGCATCACTGAACAAATGTCCTGGATGTTATTTCATGCTGAGCATCTATACCTGTTAATACCTTTCTTACTTAACATTGGTGTTCATCTGAACTATTTTAATCTTATTTACTGAGGCAAAGCAGCCTACTTTAAAGCTAATTTGATGCTCCATGGTCATGTAGGTGACTGCTGAGGAGAGACCATCTCCAGCTGCTTTTAATTTCTTACTCACAGGGGCAGAACTGGGGCACGGAAGGGCTTCCATTTTTGGATAGTCATGTGCCATACTCTGTCAATGCATAAATCTAAATTATTTTACCTGAATAACAGAAAGATTGTTTTAAATTACACACTAAACAGCATATAAATCAAATCTATCTACCTATCTATCTATCTAGACATATTACATGTTCAGATATTCATACAACAAAATATTCTGGGACCATTACATTTTGAGAAAATTATCAAAATGCTGGCAGTGGCTGGGGACTTTAAAAATCTTTATTTATTATAAACAATATTATTTAAATGCTACACAAGTGATAATCATATACAATAATAATAATAATTTAAATAATAAATGAAAATAAAAATCTGGCTTATGATGATATTGGACTTTTATTTTGAAGGGAACAACAACAACAACAACAATAATAATAATAATAATAATAACAACAATCTGAGACCAATTTGAATGGGTATACAAAACCAACATTGCATGATGAAACACATTTCTTTCTTTCTTTATGTATTTATATAGCACTATATAACACAACATTTGTGACAAAAACAAAAACAAAAAAGGTCATATGCAAACATTCACAATAACTAACAGAATTGAAATTAAATTGAAATGTCAAATTGACGTGTTGGGATGTTATGAATGTTATGAATGATTACGTTATGAATGATTACGTTTCTTCCAAAACATAATCATTCATACCATATTGTTGTTGCGCACATACTTTCAGTTTTTGAATGCAAAGTCAAAAATTATATTCGCTCATATCACGGCTTCCATCCATTTCATTACAAAACCTCATTTTACACTCATTGATTATGGAGTGATTCATTTGAATGTTTGCCATGGTAACACAATGCTATTTCTAGTTTCAGCAGAGCACACTGTTTTTACTCTGTTCCCTCCTCTCACCTCGCTGTTCAAAAAGTTGCGATAAGATGTGACAGCGTTTCCGATCTCTCAGGGGCCTTTGAGCAGTGTATACGGCAGCGTGGTTATCTGCACTGTATTTTGGTGGCGATATAACACAGAATCAATTACGAGTACACAGATATGGGAAAGGTTTAGTCTGCAAAAGATGCTACTTGACAGCTAGGATGATATGATGACAGTAAATAATCCATGTACATTTCTTGGTCTATAAATACCAACCCCTTGAGGAAATGGCTGCGTGTTTAGATAAAGAGTGGAAAACAGTGACAAAAAAGCATTGGAATTTCAAATCAGGCTTGAAGAAAGGAGAACTATAATGATGACAATAATACAAATGACAAGCAGAATTACAGTGATGGGGAGCGTCCTTATTTTTACGTTCCAGATATGCATGAGCTGTGGGGGGTGTTATTGGATGAGTTATGCTAAGCTAGCTGAATGAAAACTCTAAAGTGTGTGAATTTGAATTATGCGAGCATTAGATGTTGTAAAAGTGTCTATCATCTATGTTTTATTCTCTTTTGTGGTGTGTTGACAGAAAAATGGATTTCCAGCTGTTAAAAAAGAACACGGAGTCTTGCAAGAACATATGTCAGGTCAACTGATTCACACTTGACTGAGCAAAAATGTTACTTCAGCCATGCTTTTGTACTATCCAATTTCATGTCACTGATGGGCACTTTCACCAGCACTGTGGATGAAAGCTGCTTACAATCAAAAAGAGAAAACATTTTTGTTTTTACTTGATCCCTCAAATGTTAATAAAAATAAATAGTGTCTATTTACATTAAGTTAAAATAGCCTAGAAACCAAGTTTAATAACTCAGACAGCGGTGTGGAGAGTAAGGACAGTAGATTTAGTTTTTGAAGAGACCAAGTCATGTTTTGACGTTTCGTATTGCGTATCATCTCAGAGAGGTGTTGTTGTTTTTTTTTAAACTCTATTTACACTAAGCACAGTGCAAATAAAATACTATACTTTTGTGTTTTACTCTTATTGGAAATAGTGTCTAAAACTATGTACACTTAGTGCTAAGTATTATTATTATTATTATTATTATTATTATTATTAATTTTCAATTTATTTTCAGTTTATTTATGTGTGTGTGTATGTATGTATGCTTTATTTATTTATTTATTTATTTTCATTTTTTCAATTTACTCTTAGTCTACCCTTGTTTTAATTAAGTGCAAATAGCTTCAGCCATATAAATAACATTGGTGTACATGTTTGCATATGTTTTGGCCCATTTGTCACCAGTTAAATACATATTATTTTTTAAATTATTATATTATTTTCATTTTTATTTTAATTTTCCCACTGAACTTTTTTGGTCTTAAATCATAAAAGAATCATAAAAGCAGCACATTTTCAGCACTACACTCAACTTGAGGGATGGGAAGAAAAATAGACACTTTTATTTCACCACTACAGACGGGTAGACAACCTGGCATCCATCTGTCCGTCTGTCTAAGCAATTGACAGTGCAAAACATTACAAACAAGAGTTCAGAATGAGGATACAGATGCTTTGTGCTGTAAAGAGAATGAAAATAGTTTTTTTTTTTAAAAGCAGGAAGCTTCATGGAGAGAAAGAGTTATTATTATTATTATTATTTTATTTTTTTAACCATGGAGTCCAATTTTGTCATTCTTCTCTTCTCTGATTCATCAGTTTGTTCAAGCCTTTGAAATAGGCTGGTGTTGTTCCTCCAGCTAGATATGCCAAAAAGTATGAAAACAGGGGTCTCAGACCAATTGTCACGATAATGTTCTGTTTAGTTCCTGTCTGCCATTATTTGGTTCATTTGCTGTGTTCAATTAGTTAATCACCTTCATTTGTTCCCACCTGTGTCATATTAATCTCGTTTGCTCCTTAGTTTGCCTTCCTTAAAAACCCTCAGTTTCTATGTCATCTTGGTCTCGTATTAACGTTGTTTTAATGGTGTAGTGTGTTTATGTTTATTAAAAGACTCCTTACTTCTATTCCTTCATCGTGTGCCCTTGACTAAAACCACGCACCGTGACAGAATACGAGACCTCAAAAAAGAAAAGAAATGGACTCACCAGCATTACATCTCCTCCTCAGACCAGAAAGCCGAAGGTGGCTGGAATATTTGGGCTGGATGCTCCAGAACGGCGGCCTCTCCCTTAAAGTCAGCGAGCCCGAGACACCAACAGGGCTCATCCAGGAACCAGAGCCGGAGTCCACCAAAGCCGAGGAGACTAAGCACGCTGATCAGTCCACTGTAAAGCCAGGAGCAGACATGAACCTCATAGATCTGTGGTCTGTGGATCCAGTTCCCACCCAAGTACCCACCCTCAAACCTTTGTCTTCTTCGCCGGTCCCGTCCGGATTGTTAGAGGCTCCGGTCCCGTCCGGAGATCTTCCTCCTCCGATGTCTCTATCAGATTTCCTGGTCCCATCTCCTCCGCTGGTTTCAGCCAGTCCCCAGGATTCGTCGGCCCCACTGGTGTCGTCCAGCTCCTCGGCTCTGCCTCCGCCGCTAGCTCAGTGCGGCTCATCAGCATCGCCTCAGGCTTCCCCTCCACCAGCTCGGTATGGCGCCGAGTCCCCGGCTTCACTTCGGCCCTCCAGGCCCATGTCTCCACCTCGGCCTGTCAGCCCGCCGACTCCGCTCCGGCTCTGCATTCCTTCGGCTCCACCGAGGCTCGTCTGCCCTAGGACTCCTCTGGGCTCCCTCGTACATCCGGACAAACCTCGGTCGGTCATTGCTCAGCTTCTGCCACGGACTTCCGGGTCTCCTGCTGCGCCTCGACCCTCCACCCCTTCGGCTTCACCGGGCTCCTCCCTTCCTCTGGTTTCCCTGTCGTTCTCGCTCGCTCCATCACCCTGGTCCGCTGAATCCCCGGCTCAGCCTCAGTCACATGAGCCAGCCACTCCACCTTGGGCTTCCAGGCCTTCGATGTCGCCCTGGTCCGTCAGCCTCTCTGCTCCGCCGGTTCCTCCACGTACCCTGGTTCCGCCTCCGGGGATTGGCTTCTGGGTGTCGCCCAGTCCTTCAGCCAAAGCTCCACCCTGGTTCCTCCCACCGTCGGCTCCACCATGGTGTTGGTCTCCTCCGATTTCTCCAGGTGCCTGTCCTTCATCAGCACCACGACCTCCACCTAAGCCTCCGCCCTCTTGCCTCTTTTCTATTATCTTCTGTTGTGGAGTGAGGTCACGCCTTCCGAGAGGGGGAGCTACTGTCACGATTATGTTCTGTTTAGTTCCTGTCTGTCATTATTTGGTTCATTTGCTGTGTTCAATTAGTTAATCACCTTCATTTGTTCCCACCTGTGTCATATTAATCATCTCGTTTGCTCCTTAGTTTGCCTTCCTTAAAAACCCTCAGTTTCCATGTCATCTTGGTCTCGTATTAACGTTGCTTTAATGGTGTAGTGTGTTTGTTTATTAAAAGACTCCTTACTTCTACTCCTTCATCGTGTGCCCTTGACTAAAACCACAGAGCCACGCACCGTGACACCAATAGTGGCTAATTTTCTGTTTTGTATTTATATAAATACAACCAGAATTTAAAAAAAAATAATATATATATATATTATGGCATTTTCATCTTTATTTTGATAGGACACTAGAGACAGAAACAATGTGAGAGAAGAGAGGGGAACCAAACAGAGAAAAGTATATTTCTATCTAAATGTATGTCTGATGATATTGTCGAGTTTATATGCAGATGTATATCTATGTGTGTCTAATTCACATGTCATGCTAAAAAGAGACAAAAGTTCAACTCGGCTAAAAAATCTGGACTAATTCAGATTTCAGATTTTAAAATGTTTTTGAAAGAATTATTTCTGAAGGATCATGTGACACTGAAGACTAAAAATTCAGCTGTGCATTACAGAAATAAATTTTTTTAATTATTTAAATTGAAAAGGTTTTTTTTATCAAAATAATAATTCACAATATTACTGTTTTAATTGCATTTTTGATCAAACAAATGCAGCCTTGGTAAGCAGAAGAGCAAAAGCATTAAATTAATTAAATGATTCCAACCATTTGCTCACCGGTGTATATATTTTTTACTTCTCTTCAACGCACAGAGTTTACCAAAAATAAATTGCAATGGCTTAATAAACTGCAAGTACATATAGCATTTATATTAAAAGACAAATGTCTGGCTATGTGAGTCTAGGTCACATTAGATAACAACATTAAATGTTCAGTCTGTATAAGGTGACACCAATCAGTCATGTTTGCTCTGTGCAAGATACATATCTGTGACACAGTGATAAAACTCTTGACATAGTAGTGTTCTTCTGTGCAAATTAATTGCCATGAACATATTTTTGAGAAATACCAAAGACTTTAATTTTCAGATATTCTGCAGACTGCAGATCCCCTGCTGTGATAATGTGTGCACTGCCTTTTAGTAAGATGTGCTGCATTGGTTCGTTTAAGTATGCTCTCATTGGAGTTGAGGTGTGTATGTGTGTAGTGCACAGTGTCTTTGTGTGGACATTTCTTGTGTCCTTTCAGCAGAACAGTTGAGTCCCTCTGCTCGGGCGATTGCTCATACAGAAACATGTTTCCCTCAGCATGTTTTGCCCTTTGGCTTGCATTCATGATTAATAGATAATTCCCCTTGTTCCCATCTCCAAAACACCAGGCTCCCCCTCTGTATAAGGTGGCTAATACTAACAGTGACAAATGGAAAAGGACACATATTAGCTTACTCTATGGGCTACACATCACCTTCCCAGTAATGGCTTCAACCTCCTGGTGATCATACTCCTCTATTAGGACAAGAGTAAAATCGATAGTTTGTTTTAAATGCAGTAATGCTTCAATCCTGTGAGTTGATGCTAACTTATTGCCTCCTTTTTTTCTTATGCAAATGATTGGTAGATCATGGCAGCCATAACTTGTATGACACCTACAGGAAATATTTGACAGGAAATATATTTGATTCAAACACTCTAAAAAATGCTGGGTTAAATACAACCTAGCGCTGGGTAAAATATGGACAAACCCAGCGATTGGGTTGTTTTCAACCAACAGTTGGATTAAATGTTTAACCCAACCTTCTGGGCATTAACCCAACCGCTGGGTCAAAACAACCCAGTCGCTGGGTTATATTTAACCCAGTATTTTTTAGAGTGTAGACTGTAGATTGTAAGATATTTTTCCAGCCTCTTGCTGTTTGAGATAACTAGGCCACTACAACATGTTTCAACATCCAAAATATGTTTCACAGCTTTCTAATCTTAACTGACACATTCATCTCCTCTCCTCATCGAATTAAACTCCTTACACGTCCTAAAACATCTAAAACAATATCCATAATACCGTGAATGGATGTGTCTGACTGAGATAAGTTGTTTGCATCAGAGCAGCAAAACATTAAAACACAAGTTATGCCAGATATGGCTTGGATATAATGAAAGAGAACATCTTGGGTTACTTGACTGTAACCCTGTTCCCTGAAAAAGTGGAAACAAAATGCTGCGTTGCAATAACGCTTATGGGAACATTCTTTGTTAGACTGGTCGTGAAGCATGTGTGTCAAACATGACAATAATTATCTTAAATAAGCTTGGTCAGTGACGTCATTGAATGCGTGCACCTGAGAGTTTATGAATAGACGAGAAACGGACACAACTTCAGGTTATACCTTTGCCTGAAGGGACTTCAGGCACGCCTACAGTGCGGCATTGAGGCGCAACATCTCCTTCCCCCTTTTTCAGGGAACAGGGTTACAGTCAAATAACCCAAGACGCTCCCTATTATAAACTGCTCTCGATGCTGCGTTTCAATAATGCTTATTGGAATGAGAATACCAACGTCGCCGCACTGGAAGTGTCTGGACCCCTCAAGGTTGTGTACTGTGTATGCACAAACATTGAAGCGGTCTCAGACATGACTCTGGGATGTTGACTCAAGGAGATGTGAGCCTGGAGTAGCATGAGCATCCAAAGGAGTAGCATGAGCATCCAAACTATAGAATCTAATAAATGTGTGCGGGGAGCACCAGCCTGCCGCATCACACACTTTCTGCAAGTGGATACCTCTTGCTAGAGCCTTAAGGGTTAGTTCACCCAAAAATTAAAATTAGTCTGTGTTTTACTCACCCTCGAAGCATCCTAGGTGTATATGACTTTCTTCTTTAAGACGAATCCAGTCGGAGTTATATTAAAAATTGTCCTGGTTATTCCAAGCTCTATCATTGCAGTCAGCG